CTTTAAATTGAACTTCCCCTATCCTGGCTGAGGGCTTTCAAGACACTTACTGCCAGTTACCAGAAATACCAATTCTGATCTGTTTATACTTTGATCCTCTCTGGTGTGGAATACAAGCTGTTGCCTCACCAGATCCTGATTGCCAGATGCCTTAAAGGACAGCAAGCTCTATAGCCATCACTTGCAAGTGGAAGACTTGTGCCTATTGAAGCTGCAAATACAGCTTAGCGTGAGCTGTCCAAGCAATACGTAGCTCTTTTTCCATTAACAACAGGAAAGCGAAAGACCAGAGTGATCTCCTTCTGATTGGAAGTGAAGCACAAAGAGTAGAGTTCTGGCTTCCAAAAATTTGAGATCATGTGTAAGCAACCACTTAGTATCTTAATGTAATGACTGAAGACTGTCTGTGAATCCAATTGCTGCTGCTGACTCCTCACAGATGGATCACAGCAGAACACCATTCAGGTTAGCTGTTAACAACTGTAGTGGTACATAAAAGAATAATGATGTTGGTAACAAATACACAAATATTGGAACCTAAACTCTTTATTAAAAAAAATATTAAGAAGCAGAAACTGTATTCTTATTTCACTGAAAGCTCTTTTAAAGGTGCTAAGACAAGTGCCCAGCTTTATCTTAATACTTCTAGTGCACTAACTTCACTTTGCTCAGTTCTACTGACGTGCCTTGAATCCTAAATGGTGGATGGTGAAGATTAATCAAAGAGATTATTTCTAAGTCGATCACGGTAACAGCCCTGTGATTACAGTTTAAACATACAGGGTTTTTTTTCCTGGGCTACACATGGTATGGTCTAGGTAGAGATCGAGGTCTTGAGTTACTTGAAGGTAAGCATTCTACCCTTTAAAAGAACCAGAAGGGACTCCATGCTTTTGTACTTGAACAATACTTGAATGCTCCAAAGCTAGGAGGTGTCAACCTAAGGAAAACTAGAACCTCTTCTCCCCCTGCTAGAGTCGAGGGGTGGTTTGAGAGCTCGCTAACACTGCACATACCCACCAGTGAAATCAGACCTTACTGACCTCAGACTGCATTGTGTTGATGTAGTCCACAGTCCACTTCAAGCCAAAAAAGAGGTGTCAGCTGGAGGCATTCGAGTGATGTGGCTTTCTTAAATGTAAGGAGAAACAGCTCAGGAAATCCAACTTTGTTTTATTGTGTGTAAAATCAAGTGAAACAGCAGTACAAATAGCAGTGTATCTTTATAGTAACAAAAATAACTTCAACTTGAAAGCCTTAAAATTTACCACTGAATTCTTAAGTTACAAAATCCAAAAGCAGTATTGTAGTAATTCCATAGATATAAAAATGGTAAATAGGCATCTGCTGGTGCGGACAGAACAGTCTGAGATGCGTTAATTGCAACATACGTACATGGCACAGCAGTAACGTATTGAATAAGTTAGTCTGCCACCTCCTCATGTTCTATTTACAACAGCTTACCTGAAGACTGTTTAAGGAAAGTATAGATATGTATAAATCAACTGAAGGGGATTAAGAACTCCAGTTTTTGGATAATTGTAAAGCTAGCTGGTTAACAAACCACTAGGATGCTAGATAATGAACTTAATTTTGCAGCAAGAATCTTAAATCCTGTGGCATGTTGATTTAAACAACTTAGTATCTTACCGGAAGTTTAAATTTGGTCAAGAGGCACTTTTGGAAGTTACTGGCATATTCATCTCTTCCATCCAATAAATTGGTGACTTAAGCAAAGTCTTCTAGGAGACAGAGCAAAATCCACCCCTCCCATTTCAAGTCTGATAGAAGTGGAATGAAGAACTGAAGACTCTACAGCTATAAGCAGCTGTCTTGGTAAGTTCAGCAACAGCATTTTCTTTGGGGCTCCATATTCCTTTCATTTAAACATGATTCATTTGATGTTATAAGTTAGTTGGAACAGGAGAATTAAGGTTTTACGCCGAGAATGAAATTGCACTGTAGTGTCCATGAACTTTTAGTGTACTTTGCAGGTATTAACCTAATACTTCTGTGTTACTTAGTTGTTTCTTGTCTGAAGAGGCTGCTTTGTACAGGGAATCTTTGCAGTAAACCATAATGCCCCAAACCCTTCAGCACACTCTGTGTAGCTAGCACACAATGTGGGATTAGTACAGTGCTCCTCCCCACAGCAGTGAGCAACTCTTAATTCTGGCACTTTAATTCGATAGCATGGGAGGACAGGACTGCTAGCTTATAAAAGCTTAGGCACAGCAAACCCTTTTATCTTCCATAGCAGAAACCACATTTCCTCCTAAAATAGGAAGCTTTTGTGCTGCAAAAGAATCCTGACAAAATTAAGGCTTCTCCAGCTGCTTCCTTAGATAAGTAGGATTTGTCCTGTCTTCCTGAAAGCTATAACTACAATAAAGTCTTACCATGTACCTGCAGGGAAGACTTTAGAGAAGCACTCTGCTGAGGGGACTACAGTTTTACTACTGCCAGTTACACCAGAGAAAGGAAAGAAAAAAAAAAAAAGTGTTTACCACAGTTAGGAACATGCACTCCTTCCAGATAACCTGTTCAGGTCTAGTGTTTGCTTCCTTGCTTGGTATCAGTCTATGTATCTCCCTCCCCAACCCCTCCCCAACTTGCTGATCCATTAGGACATCATGGATTGTTGCACAGCCTTCTGCAGAGACTGCCTGGTCACCAGCAGCCGTACCACTTCTTCGTTCCTTTTTGTCAGCCTCTTCCTAGCTTGGTCATGGGTCACCATTGTCATATCCCAGCCGTTCACCTGGGGAAAAAACATAAAGTGAGGCAGATGTGTGGACTCACAGTCGTCCTGTAACTGTTCTATCAGAACTCAGCTCAGTTCATGTGTAAGCCCCACAAACTGTCCTGGAAAGTACCCAGAAGACAGTATTTTCCCCAACAGAAGCTCCTCTGTAGTGTGCATCTCGTACTACATTAGTACTTGTCTAAACTTGGTGTTTACCTGCATGATCTTATCTCCAATCTGAAGTCCTGCAATTTCTGCCGGGCCTCCTTCCGTCACCCTTGTTACATAGATACCCTGGGGGGAAAAAATTAAGTGTTCATTTACTAAAATATGGGAGCATTAAATACTCGAGGGCCATTCTACTGACAGTGCAAAAATAATCTGTAGTATATTACAGGATTCTAGTTAAAAACAGGTTTGTGCCATGTTGGAAAATAGAAAAGGGGGAGAGCTAACTTAGGACAAGCTTAGTCTGCAAACGATTATGTGGCAACAGAGTAGGTTTAGAGTCAGCTACAGGAGAGGACAGAATACAGCTGTGAGTGAGTAGTGGTTGGTGGGCGAACTGGGTATGCTCAGCCTTTTGCTGAGAGACTTGCTACAGAAAACAAAGCATCTGACCTTGTCGGTTTTGTCTTCAGAGAAAGGGTTCTGAGTAGGATCCTGATCAATGCCACCTCCAATGCTGAATCCCAGAATCAAATTGTCACCTTGACGTAGCTTATGTATTTCAATTCTTTGCTGAAAAGAGAACACAAAATAGAGTATTGCAATAACTGGAAGAAATCTCAAGTGTGTCTCACACAGATACTCGGGGCCCAGTTAGATTGTCTGTAAACCTCAGGTAACTCTACTGCAGCAGGCTCCATCCCAGCTTGGTTAGAGAACCATCTGTCAAACCTGCACACATTGTAGGTAGTGGCACACCCCATGGCACTGGCTGTCTGTCACTCCCATGCAGCCACGGTGTCACAATCTGCTCTCAACTGCTCTCAGCCCTGCCACGAGACAGCAGGGCAGGAAACCACCTGCAAGCTCATCACTGGTACAGCCTTGACTACTCAGCGCTTCACTGCTGCCCAGAGATACAAGGGGAAACCACTGAAAACAGCGCAGGTCTCTTTAAACATGAGTCATGTCTTGATAACTAGCAGTCACTCGGAGTGACTCATCATGCTCTCTATCCCGTGCCTTGTGTCCCTGCCTAGCCCTGTCAGGGGCAATAAAGAACCATCCTAATAATAGGCTGGTTATCAGAATGCTCTTGTAATCCAGAGGTAGGTTCTTTGCTGCCTGCTGATCATCTGACAGGCTTTGCACATCTAAGGACTGTATAAATGCCAAACTGTGCAATTCTTGAGCCAAGATAAAAAGCCAGAGCCTTAACTGAGACAACAACCGCTCAAAAGGATCATCAGCCTGGTCTAGAGGAAGGTGTCAGGGCTAAGCGATCTCTAAAGGTCTCTTGATCCCAAACCGTTCCGTGCTTCTCCTCGAACAGCCCTGTCAGGCCACGGCCGCCGCTCTCCCACCGCGGCGTTAACGCTCACCCCGCCCGAACCCCCACCGCATCCAGTATGCTACCGAGCGGCAGAAGCAACGGAGCCCCTCGCGTGCGCTGTCCGTTGATTAAAGCAATTAATACACTTCAAAAGCCCTACTGAGCAGGTGCTCAACCTGCCCGCGCCCCTCGGCGGGGCCTGTTCCCTCAGACCGGCGGAGCTTCCTCCCGCCTCCCCCGGCTGTACGAGGCCGAGCGCGCCGCGGCACTGACAGCCTCCAGGACAGAGCGGCGCCGCTGCCCGCTGACAGTTCTTAGCACATAAAGCAAATGATGACTGCTATCACACAGCTTGATAGGTAAAATCAGATGACTTTAAAGTGTTCTCAATCTTGACATTCAAACTGAAGTGGGCAACAGGAAATGAAGTAATTATCTTCAAATCCATGGGACAAAGACAAAAATAATGTGCTACAATACTGTTACTGACTTTTTTTTATTATTTTTTTTTAAAGTTAGGGCATATTTTGGCCATGTTTCCACGACCAATGGCCATGCAGGAAAAAATATGGGCCTGGCATTTTAAAAATAACCTCTGATGCATTCAGGTATTCACTTTTTCCTGCCAGCTGGACTTTAGAAAATCAGCTGGACTTTAGAAAAGACTGTTACTTTCAAGAAAATGAAACGATAAAGATAACTGTAGAGAAAAAGGTAAAGGAGGAGATGCATTTTAAATCATGTCAAAGCATTATGGTGGAAAGTCCTATGTGTCGAATGCCTGGTTCTCTTAAGGAGAATTTATTAGTGGCTGTAGTAGTCCAGTACCAGAAGAAATATCTTATGAAAGTAGTGTAATGTGTACTTCCAGAAGCTGATATGATAGAAATGGAACAGAGGTCGCCATCCCACAAGCACTGACTTTACAAGCAGTGTGAGAAGCAGTGGCCTAACACTTCAGCACATTTGTAGAGCAATAGAGGTTTATTAGTGTTAGTGTTTAAATAAAGAAGCCATGCATCTTCTAATGAGCTTCTATCCCCATCTGATTTTAGTGTTGCTATACAGATTTAAATAAACTCTAGGGGCTTGACCGGCCTGCACGGCTTCATCTTCTACTTCCTGGCTTCCGTCCTCCTTTCCGTGCTCTTGGTGTTAAAAGCTGGACGGCGGTGGAATAAGTACTTTAAATCCCGAAGGCCACTTTTCACAGGGGGGCTTATAGGAGGGCTCTTCACATATGTCCTGTTCTGGACTTTCCTGTATGGCATGGTTCATGTCTACTAAAACAACTAGGACCCACATTAGCTGCAGTGGTTTTTAATGAAGCAGGAGGACTGTTGCCAAAAGTCATCTACACAACTAGGCCAGCTTACCTTCTAAACCGTTGTTCATCGCTTGTATTGTTAATACTGTCAGTAAATTATGTCAAAGTACAAATTAATCGGTAGTACTGTTCTAATTAAACTGAATGTGAAACACCACATGGATGCTTCTGATGAATATTTGTTTGGTCATTAAGGAATAACTTCTGTCCCTAATTGCAGACACAACTGTGGGTTTTGGTTAATGTAGTCCCTAGTACCCTTTGCATTTTGGATAAGCCACACCAATTACAGTCCCTTCTAGATTTGCTGCCTGTCCTTACACACATATACCGATGAAAGCAGCACTCTTAAATAATAATCCACTGACACGAGGAAACACTGCACGGTAGCATGTAATTAAGTGTATGTAGAGGTTTGGTACAGAAATGTAATTGAGTTGCTAATGTAAACGTCATTTCCACAATTGCCATATATACACGCTATCAATAAATGACATTGTCATGGACACTCTTCACTGGCATACACAAAAGTCAGTAAGTCATGCTCTCACACGTCACACACTTTGCTCCTTTTTAGTACCATTGTGGCCCACGAAACACACAAACCCAGTTAAGTGCAGCATCGTATTACCTGCCAGCTCAGTCTGTACTGAACACGGTTGTAAGCCTGTTGGCATTTTCTGTGATCAGACAGTGCATTGTTGTGGTTCCATATGGCTCTGGCAGGAACAGAAAGGAAAGTATGATCACCCACCGTGCAGGCAGTATCTGTGCTATAGACCTGTTTGTGCAAATGTAGTGTTTGGAGACTTGCATTTGAACACCGAGATCATACTCTTGTACAGCAACTGGGTTTTGTCATGTATTTTTTTCTACAAACACACACTGCTCCATCTGGTTAACTCTGTTCTTTGAATTAGTCATGGCTTCACCAGAACACCGTAAGATATTCCCTTTTCCTGTTATACAAAGATTTTACAACATCATGTTCCATATTTAAAAATATTTTACAGGACAATCCACTTCTGGTGAAATGCGGTGTTATACAAAAGGTGGATTTGATACTATAAAAAATGTTGCCTCTGATGTTTCCTTTTGAGGGAAAAAGATGATCAAGGTTTGAATGCCCTCAGTAGTGTATGCTTTGACACGTTCACACCATCAGAAAACAACTGGCACTTGTTACCCATTAACAGGTATGTTTTATACACCTGTACTGTTCAAATACTTTCTGAACACTTAATTGAATTGTTTGGCATAAGTACGTATCACAAAGAATATGTGCGACCTAAAGAACACACTTTACAGAAGAGGCTTGGAGAGCGTTGCCCTAAAGTGACAGATTTTATTGCTGTACATTAAAAAAGAAGGGGGGAAAAAAATCAAAGAAACAAGCTCCTGAGAAGGAATCTGATTATGTTTTATTAACAGTAATGGTTGTGGGAGTTGTGTTCAACAGAGGGTATAAAGAAGGGAAGACTGTAGGGATTTAGGGGGCCTGAAGCCCCTGAAGACTTAAATTCAGGAAATCACTTTGGTCATCTAACAAGAGGAGGATGTTTTGTCAAGTGGAAACATTGGTTGCAGTAGAGCCCGGTCAGCTTTACATGTTATGATGAGCTGCTCGCTCTCCATGAGTTATGCCTTGGCCTGATGTCACCTCTGGGGTTCACTGTGTGTTTCACCATTGGGAAATTATTCCAATAGAATTCAGCTGTGACAGTCAGAAGCCTGGGCTGCTTTACTGGCATGGCAGCTCTACACACGTTAACTCGCGTTTGCCTAGAGGAGAGACTTCTGGCATGGAGAGAGGAGGCTCTGGATGCGATTATAGCATCAGAGGTACACAGCTTGTCCCAAGTTAAGTCCACTTTTTAATCCTATCTATCTTGTACCTAAATTTTTGACTCAATACTTGCCTCTGACCAGAAGCAGAGGGACTGGACTAGACTGGGTGGGGTTTGCTTTCGGTGACTGGATTCGGAGTTTGCAACTGCTAACAAAGGTGAGTTTTAATTTAGAATCATCCTGTACCTCAGAGGAACCGCCTCAGAGAAGTGAAAGCAGAGGCGAGTGCAGGTTGCTGTTTCCATATGCACGTAACGCTTGATCACAGCAGCTCTCTGTAACGCCACCCTCTACAGCTGTCCTAGCAGTACGTAAGGACACTGCGGCAGGAGTCCTTTAAATCTGGATATTCCAAGAGTGCACAGAAACACTTAATCTTTGTCATGATGACTCCTGATCGATGGCGGCATTTACAGAACACTCTGATCAGTTTGTACCAACCACAGTGTGGAAGCCTTAAATGAAAGGACTAATGTTTCAAAAATATTGAAATACCGATTCCTGTCAGCTCAAGCAAATGCAAACCTTAAAAGTAAACAATGCTATTCTATAAGCACTTTTCTCTTCTGAGATTAGTTACCTCCCCACATGAGCATAAATTCACAAAATGGGCAGCAATGATACTTATTTCTCTATTGAGAAACAAAGAAGCACTCGTAGTTGTTGGAAGTTACCAGAGTGTTGAAATAGTGGACCTCTGTCATCTAAATTTTCCTCCTGTTGGTATACTCGGAAGAACTTGGCAAAATCTGTTTTACCTGACGGAGCTCTCCTTTCCAGTCTCTGCAGTACAGTTCAGGGTACTACAAAAAACAGCAGAAATGTTAAGTGCCCTGTCCAGCTCTTCCCACCACGAGCAATTGGCAAAGTGATGCGGAAAGGACAATCCCGGGCAAACGAACCAGGCACTGGACAAAGGAGGGAGAACCTCAGACCATCCCTGTGCAGATACTCCCAGTGCCACACACTGACCTCCTTTTGCCCGAACTCCCGACCACAAACACACCTGCCCCTGCCTTGTGTCAAAACACTCCTCTGCCCGCTGTTACCTGCGCTGTGCTCTGCAGTGTGGGTTCTCTGGGCCAACTACGCGTGGAGACGGTGGGCAGCGGGTGAGGTAGTGGGGACCCACCAGGGCTGAACTGATTCTCCGTTCAGAGCTGCGGCAGGACCTTCTCCTGCTGTTCCTGAGAGACAAGCAGAGCACCTTGTTGCAGCAGTTGTGAATGCTTTTCCCGGAGGAGCACCGTTCCTAGCCCTAATGGTTACACACACAGCAGTAAGAGTAACTGCCCCCGTTGTGACGGGCATTGTAGGATAACCATCCCCTTTCCCCGAGCTGTGACAGCTGCTGAAATGCTGCACTTCATTGCACCTCCCGACAAGAGCAGTCCCGCTGCTTTACAGCTAATCTTGCAAGTAACATGAGCGAGAGCTGGAAGCGGTGGCCACAAGCCAGTGGAGCAGGAGACAGGTTGAATCTCAGCCTCAGCCCTCCCCACAGTGCCAGTGGTGTTTCACAGCACGGCTCTTCCGCACACGGAAGCGAAGCGCAGCCACAGGATAACGCTGGCTATGGATGTAGGTACAGATATATCTAGCAATGGATACAAAAACATTCATTTGGTGCCTTCTTTTTTCTTTTATAAAATCCTTTTATAAATCCATAGTGCTGACACACTGTCGCAAGCTCAGGATACTAGAGAACATCTCAGGGAAAGAAGAGCAGTCTTTAAAGGACTTTTTTTTTCCTCTGGGAATCCCAATAACAGACAGTAGCTCTGATCTGGGGTCTCTCCACCTCCCAGTCCTGGTGTGACTTCACACCTGCGTGGTTTTCCTGGCCCCCGAGTCCAGCTGGCAGACCCATCGCTGTGCCTAGAGCCCACCGAGCTGGTCAGGGCTCTGATTCCCATTCAGCGTAGGGCTAGATAACGATTTCCTGGAACTGGACCTGAGGAAACAAGCAAAGGTGACAGACGAGGCTATTTCTCTTTGAGGAGACAATGTGGGCAAGAGGTTCCCAGCAGACCTGTCACACCTCACCACAAAGGCCATCACCCCCCGCACAGCTAAAGCCCCACTAACCAGTTTCATGAGGCTCTGGAGCTGCCCCAGTTCCATCCGTGGTCATTATGGACAGACAGTGTGAGGCCATTTATAGCCCAGCCGTGACACAGCAGGTTCCTTTGCTCCCAGCCAACTGCGGCAATGAATTACGGAGGGAGGGAGTAACTTGGCTAAACTCATTTGGAGGAATATAATTTCCCGGAATTGGCCTTTGTTTGCCATTAATGTTTACTGTGTTCCCGTATCTCCTTCTATTTCTATTACTCATACCAATAAAGCCATTACATTTAAAGACAAAAGCCAAGCCCACTTACTTTACTTCCTCATACTTTTTGCCTCGATAAAAGTTACTCTTTTTAATCAGATACAGCAGCACCAGGTCACAAAAGAAAGCTCCCTGCAAATAGAAAGAACTTGTGTTTGATCTTTAGAGTAGAAGAGGAAGTGTTCTGATCCAGTTAGCAATGAGCATTAATTAAAGAAGAATAACTTGTAGAAGCTGTATTCTCCTTCGCACTCCATGAAATCTAAGGGGTATTTAGACTGCAAGGTACATTAACAAATGCCTTTAAGACAGGAGTCAGGCACACACCTGACGAGCAGTCAGAGTAGCAAAAACTCTGTTGCAGAAGACACAAACCAACTTCCCATTTTATCCCCACAACAGCTAAATGAGGGACCTGGGCCCCAACACATCCCTTTTAGAAAATGCATTCACTTACCGCTCCCATGAGAGCAAGCCCCGAACCGATATTGATAATGGTGGGAATGATGTTAAATTTCCCCGCCTAAAAGAAAAAAGGGCCATGAAGAACTCGGTGAAAGAACAACCCAAGAAACGAACTCGGGGGTGCGGTTTTACCCAGGGGAAGCTGCTAATGCCTGTGGGTGTGTTTTGTCAGCAACAAGCAGGCACAACCCCAGAAGATTTGCAGTGAACACTCTTTGAGGCTAAAGGTCTGCGTGTGTCTTAGATCCAACTCTCCATGGCCGCATTTCTGAGCTTGTGTCATCCCTGGATTAAGCTTCTTTTTTTCTGCAG